TTAACTTCCCTCTCCGCAGATTCTTGTTCACAGGGTAGTCCCTTCCCCCCAAAAAAAAATTGTGTGTGCACATTGAAATGGAATCTTCATGGGTGGAAGGGTAACTTGAGAGGAGATTGTACCTGAATAAGTTATGGCCCAGCTTCTCTCTCCGCAGATTCTTGTTCACAGGGTAGTCCCTTCCCCCCAAAAAAAAATTGTGTGTGCACATTGAAATGGACGTTGAGGGCGATAAGATATTCTTTACTCAAGGTCCTGCAGGCCAATCGTTTCCAAGGTATTCCCATCACGGTTTCTCGTCTTCTAAACCTGGTCTCGAGCAAAGGGCAGTGGGAGGAGAAATATAGGAATCTGATCATCTTGCCAGGAGGAAAAAAAGGTTCCCCCATGCCTGCCTACTGCAATCTTCTCTTTAACAAGGGTAGGTAGGTACTTTTGCCCTTCCACCCCACCTATCTTTTCTAAACCTGGTCTTGAGCAAAGGGCAGTGGGAGGAGGAATATAGGAATCTGATCATCTTGCCTGGAGGAAAAAAAGGTTCCTCAATGCCTGCCTACTGCAATCTTCTCTTTTAACAAGGGTAGGTGGGTACTTTTGCCCTTCCACCCCACCTATCTCACAATCTGTCAGCCCATATTTTTTTTTTAATTGAATTTCTCTCTGTGATCCCTGCCACAGCCTAAAACAGTGACTTCAGCAGGCAGGTCAAAAATGTGCTATGTGCCTAGCTAAAGAGAGAGAAGGGAGGAGAATTTGACCAGGGGGAAAGGACATCCGGAGGTACGTCTTTCCAAAGAAAAATGGACACGCATCGAAACAAGGATGGAGGAAGCCCAGGTATTTCCTTGTCAAGGTTGAAGAGCCATCTGCTATGGGTATCGCTGAGCAAACACACATTAGCAATCCATCCCGTAGCTAAGAGCATAGAAGTTCTTTTTCTCTGGTATGCCCATCCCTGCCAAATGGGTCTACATATACTCAAGAAGGACATTCCATACGGGCATTGGAAGACAATGCCCGGTTAAGGTCTCAGCTGTGCAAAACACACCACCTTTCCGAGCCCTTGTTTCTCTTCTTTGGGAGCGCCCCTGTTGGAAGGGGAACAGCTTGCCCTATTCCCACCCCCAAAATTGGGTATTCTGTTTCCGTCATTCCAAAAGGAGCACCACTTTCCCCCCCACCCCACCCTGCAGGGAGCAGTTCTGGCATTCCAATGAATTATGATTTTCTTTTTTTTGAGACTGATCCTTCTTATCATTTCTTGTAGTATAATAAAGAAAGACGAATGGACATTGTTATCTCTGTAGCTCTGTAGTTAATGATATTCTGCTTAGACTGAAATAAAGCACAGTCCAGTGGGAATTTGCCCCGACGGGTCACGTGTGAGTCTCTTGTTGAGGTGGCCGAGGGGGAACACGGCTGTAGACCAAACGCAGCATGAGCCCTTGTTGTAGCAGTTCACTGCAGGGCCCAGTGGGGTGGTGGGCCCCCAAAACCCCAGCTCCTGTCTCTAGATCAGCGCTGACTTCCTTTTGACCTGGGGGGGAGGGTCCGATGACAAAACAGATGGGTGAACACTTCCTTTCTGACCCCTGATATGGTGCCCAGATACGAGTGGAAGGCAGGGATCTGTCGTGCAAAAGGTTGGGGGCATAGCAAGGGCAGCTTAGCAGCTCACAGCTTGGGCAGGAGCTGAATGGCTGGGGCATGAACACAACACACGGCAGCTGCCTTATACTGGATCAGGCCACCCACCCGTCAGAATCAGTATGGTCTACTCAGGCTGGCAGCAGCTCTCCAGGGTTATCACGCCACCTACTACCTTGGCTCTTTTAACTGGAGAGGCTGGAGATTGAACCGGGGACCTTCTGCATGCCAAGCAGAGACTGCATCATTGAGCCACGGCATTTTTATCGCCCATGCTGTTGCATAGCAGAGGTGTGATACACCTACCCCTGCTGTGCTCTTCTGGTGGTAGCAAAGCCTGCCTGTCATTTTAGGATCCGCCTTTTGTCCCGCCCACACTGCTCAAGGGGTGCACTAGGCATAGCCTAGGGAGATGGTAGTCCGAGGATACCCAACTTGAGCACTTAGATGGGCCTGAAGGGATTTTGATGGGAGTTAAGGAGGTTGCCCCAAGCCGACAGCTCACTCTTATGACCTGCAAGATTGTTTTGATGAGGGTGGTCCGAAGCCCTTGCCCTCCTGGCTGTGGAGTGGGTGAGGTCCTTTGTTCCGCTGCCTGGAATTTCTCCACTGCATCCCAGGGAGCTGTGTTCACAACCACCTGCAATGCAGCAGGAAAACATTTCTTGTGCACAGAAATGTCACCATTGCAGCAAAGCACAACTGAAACTGTTAAAAACGATTTTCTATTCCATCTTCAACCAAAAAGGAGATGACAACCAAGAAACCAGGGGGGAGGGGGGGATTTAGCTGGGAGACTTCAGCATTGGTGGGCTGCACATGGTGACTCCAGAGAGAACTCCACCTATAAACTGAACAACAATAATACCTTACTGAAGACTTCAGGGTCTGCTGGGAACCGCATGACTACATTAGACTGATTTAATCTCCAAATGATGGCTGTTTCATTCATTGGATCCTGTTTCAACCATCTTCAATAACATGGAGTAAGCACATTAAATTTTGAGAAATGACCTATAGTAACCCCAATGACCTGAAGTAACCCCACTAATTGGAAATTTTGAAAGTTGACCTATAGTAACCCCAATGACATAAAGTAACCCCTCACTCATTGGAAATTTTGAGAAATGACCTATAGTAACCCCAATGACCTGAAATAACCCCTCACTGATCAGAAATTTTGAAAGTTGACCTATAGTAACCCCAATGACCTGAAGTAACCCCTCACTAATTGGAAAATTTGAGAAATGACCTATAGTAACCCCAATGACCTAAAGTAACCCCTCACTCATTGGAAAATTTGAGAAATGACCTATAGTAACCCCAATGACCTGAAATAACCCCTCACTGATCAGAAATTTTGAAAGCTGACCTATAGTAACCCCAATGACCTGAAGTAACCCCTCACTCATTGGAAATTTTGAAAGTTGACCTATAGTAACCCCAATGACCTAAAGTAACCCCTCACGCATTGGAAATTTTGAGAAATGACCTATAGTAACCCCAATGACCTGAAGTAACCCCTCACTGATCAGAAATTTTGAAAGTTGACCTATAGTAACCCCAATGACCTAAAGTAACCCCTCACTAATTGGAAATTTTGAGAAATGACCTATAGTAACCCCAATGACCTAAAGTAACCCCTCACTCATTGGAAAATTTGAGAAATGACCTTTAGTAACCCCAATGACCTAAAGTAACCCCTCACTAATGGGAAATTTTGAAAGTTGACCTATAGTAACCCCAATGACCTAAAGTGACCCCTCACTAATTGGTAAATGTTTGAGAAATGACCTATAGTAACCCCAATGACCTGAAATAACCCCTCACTGATCAGAAATTTTGAAAGTTGACCTATAGTAACCCCAATGACCTAAAGTAACCCCTCACTAATTGGAAATTTTGAAAGTTGACCTATAGTAACCCCAATGACCTAAAGTGACCCCTCACTAATTGGGAAATGTTTGAGAAATGACCTATAGTAACCCCAATGACCTAAAGTAACCTCTCACTCATTGGAAATTTTGAAAGTTGACCTACAGGAACCCCTCTAGTAGTTAGGAAGTTTGAAATCACCTGAAACAGATCAGTAATGTTTCCTGGGATGTGGATCAGACAGCTGAGGGATGGCATTCTCTACTCCCCCGCCCCCAATTTTCACCCCATTCTTGAAACAGCACAAGTTGGAGGGTTCAGTGTGGCTTCTCTGGTCAGTGGTGGCGTTCAGATTGTCTTCTAAACCTTCTCATGTCCCACAAAGACTACAGCAAAGAATTTTTTTTGGGGGGGGGGAAGCAGCCAGGGCCCTCCATCTTTGCTCAGTCTGCACAATATGCCCCCCACCTGAAGAGTCCATAACCCAGATCCCATACAGTCTGTCGGTGTGGGTGTAAAATAATGTTCCTGTGTTATGCCAATAAAGGTCTATGAATGTATGAACTTGGCTGAGGTGGGATTCTCGTCCTTTAACCACTGGGTCCTATTCCCCCATTGGGACCCATAGTGCACCACCAGAAATTAATACCATTTTTGCTTCTGCTCTGTCATGTGAAGACCCTGCATATGACCCGTAGCCGTACAAAAATACCCGAGCTCAAAGGCAAACATGAGCATTTGTAATGATGTTCTGTTCCTATAACTCGGAAGCTCTTGTTGCATCTCAAAACCCACTCAGCACCCAGATTAACTTTTCAATGTGTGTTTGTGTGTAAAGTGCCAACAAGTTGCAGCTGATCTGTGGCGACCCCACAGGGTTTTCAAAGCGAGAGATGGACAGAGGTGGTTTGCATGTTCATTTTGAGACTCTACCATCTGCATAGCAGGGGTTTCTCCAAACCTTTTTATCTCCCCTGAACACGTGGCGTGGAAACGCCCAATCTAGGAGAAAGTGTGCGTTCCCTGGCATTTGGTTGGAGCCCAGCAGAGGTACTTGCGGGTCTCCGACCATCACACACAATAAAAGCAGAGGCACGGCTTGTTCCAAACACAGGTTCCAGCCCGACACATGGCACCACTTGCTTTCTTTTTTTAAAGAGAATTTTAATAAGCTAAAACCATTTGCTTTCTCTTCTTTTGTTTCAACTTCCTCTTTTTTTGCTTGTTTTTGTTGCTTAAAAATGTCGTCACTGTAAACACGGGGAGTGCGCCGTCGGCCACCCCAACAGTTCAAGGGACCCGCGACACAAGTCCACCCCCTCAGAATCTCTCGGTATAACTCTACATACAGGCCCAGGGGGAAGGGGCTGCTGCCGCCCCTACAGAGGTGCTCCCAGGGCCTCCGCCATCCAGATGTGACACTGGTTGCCGCCTCTGCCCTCCCCCCCCCCATGGATCGCAGTCCTCAAGTGGCCAGGGTGATCATCGCTTCTCCGGTAGCCTCCAACGCCTGGCATCCATTCTGCCCATGTGGAGGCAGGGGCAGCGCTGGCACATGCTGAAGGAAAGGGGTGCTCAGTTTCCCCCCTCAGTTTGTATAGACCTGAGTGCCAATCACACGCATGATCTCCTTTTGGATTTTGGGGTCCTGAGTATTGATGTTGGCATCTCCGACTTGGCCATCCTCATACCTGTGGCAGGAGAAAAAAAAGAGAGGCTTTTTTGAGTGCCAGGTAATGCCACAGGGAATAGGTTGACCGCAGCAGAATGCCTTAATCTTTTCCGGATACCCCTTGGGAGTAGGCTATTGCCTGCCCCAGTGGGATAGGGGTCACACCATTCTGCAAAAGACAACAGCTTCACCACACAAGGTGAGAATACTCACACAAAGAAAAAGCGAGTGCAGACATGGTCAGACACCGGGCAGACCCAGATGTTGCCGTGTTTCTGGAGATCCTTCGACGTGATCACTGCAAATGAGGAAAAGGGGTCAGCCAAACTGCAAATGGATCTTGAGCTTTGCTTTCACTCATTTATTTATTTATTCAATTGATAGACCGCCCTCCCCTACAAGCAGGGCTCAGGGCAGTGAACAACATTTCAGTAAACTACAATCAGAATCAATAAACAGTTTAAATTATTTCAAAAATCCAACAGATGAAGAAGAGGAGGAGGAGATTGGATTCATACCCTGCCCTTCATTCAGAGTCTCAGAGCATCTTACAATCTTCTTTCCCTTCCCCTCCCCACAACAGACACCCTGTGAGGTAGGTGGGGCTGAGAGAGCTCTATGGCTTGCCCAAGGTCATCCAGCAGCTGCAAGTGGAGGAGCGGGGAATCAAACCCAGTTCTCCCATATTAATGAGTCTGCACACTTAACCACTACACCAAAATGGCTCTCCATAAATGACATAAGGCTGACTGATGTCCAATGTTAGCCAATGATTTATAACTCCATGGTAATACCACAGAGTTTCTAGATCATCAGTTGACGCGCCGACACCATGTCTGAGTTTTTGCCTGGACCTGACATCAGCACTTAGCCCGAAGCTCCCAGGGATGCCAGGCAACTTCCTGGCATCTTTATCTACAAGAAGAGGCAAACCTCTACTGCAGGATGCTTTTTTCCAGAGCTAGGAACGTCTGATTATGCAGGACCAGCATCTTCCACTGAGTCAGAAAGCATCAAGAGCCAACAGAAAGCCCTGTGCACCAAAGGACTACCTTTGGATGGGGCCCTGGCTCTATAACAGAAAATAAGTAATATATATAGTGAACGTAGACGGTGGTCTCCGGAATGGTGTGCCGTTTCGACAACGATCTTCTTCTGAACAAGGGTGGGTAGAAGAAGAAGAAGAGAAGAGATTGGATTTATACCCCGCCCTTCACTTGGAGTCTCAGAGCGGCTTACAAACTCCTTTCCCTTCCCCTCCCCACAACAGACACCCTGTGAGGTGGGTGGGGCTGAGAGAACTCTGACTGACCCAAGGTCACATCAGCAGGTGCAAGTGGAGGAGTGGGGAATCAAGCCCAGTTCTCCCGGATTAGAGTCCGCGCACTTAACCACGACACCAAACTGTACAAAAACTGTCTTTCAACAATTCATTTCTCTTGGTGACGTATTGGAAATATACTGTTGATTCACTTCATCATGAGGCTATGCTTACAGCTATGTTCTTCAATGGGCTATAATTGCTGAAGGCAATTCCAATACGGCACACCATTCCGGAGACCACCGTCTACATTCACTATATATATTACTTATTTTCTGTTATTGTATATTATGATTTATGAATATATTACCAAGCGCTAAATTGTCACAGTTCTTTCCCCTTTTTTCCATTGGTCTTATTACTGTGCCCATTCTTGTAACTATTCTCTCAGGTCTGAAACAGACATGGAGAGAAAGCGGCTCGGAAAGGGGAAGAGACGCTTGCCCTTACGCCTCCGCTATCACTCACCTTCACAAAGTGCGATGCAGTTTAAATTGCGACTCTGCAGGAACCTGGACTGGATGGATCGCGTCTGCAAGTCAAAGCAGAGAAACCGGAGTTAGAATCCTGTTTATTTGGGGCCGCCGCACTGCTCGTTGCTTCAATCCCATCTGCACCGTCATCAGCCTTTGGGACCAGCCAATCCCAAGACGGAGGAACTGAATGGAGGTATCCTCATCCAAAGTCTTTGGCTGTGCCCCGATCTGGATAGCCCAGGCAAGCCTGATCTCGTCAGATCTTGGAAGCTAAGCAGGGCTGACCCTAGTAAATAATTGGAAGGGAGACCTCTAAGGAATGCCAGGGCCGGGACGCAGGGGCAGGCAATATCAAGTCACCTCTCTGAAAAAACATCCAAGCCCCCAGCAGGGGTCACCAGAAGTCAACCGTGACTTCCAGGCAAGCACACAAAAAATATAAAGACACAAAATATTATTTTTGTTTAAAAAAGGACAGTCCAACTGCAAGGAGCAATCCCAGTAATTCGTACAAGTTATGCCTGGTGATATAAACTAAGATCAGAGAAACTGAATCCTCCTTCATTGACTGGAAGTTGCATCGTCTTTAAAGAAATCCGAGGCAGGGAGGGAAGCCCACAAAAATTTCCTAAACAAAATATTTCATGAATAGATCTGCAAGGTATACAGAAAGGAACGGCACATAAAATATAATTGTTGTTGTTCAGTCGCACAGTCGAGTCCGACTCTTCGCGACCCCATGGACCAGCTCCCGCCAGGCCCTCCTGTCTTCCGCCGTCCTCTGAAGTTGGCTCAATTTCATGTTCGTTGCATCGATGACACTGTCCAACCATCTCATCCTTTGCCGTCCCCGTCTTCTTTGACCTTCGATCTTTCCCAGCATCAGGGTCTTCTCCAGTGAGTGCTCCCTTCTCATTGGGTGGCCAAAGTATTTGAGCTTCAGTTTCATTATTTGGCCTTCCAGGGAACAGTCAGGGTTGATTTCTTTTAGGATTGACTGATTTGATCTTCTTGCAGTCCAAGGGACTCTCAAGAGTCTTAAAATATAATAATCCTAGGTATATAATGTTCATTTTGAGTGTATTAACTTTAGCCCATACATACAGGTTTAAAGTTGCCCATCTGTCCAGGAGCAAAGATCAGCAATTAGCTTGTTAAAATTTAGCATAATCTTACGTGTGATATCTCTAGGAAAGATGGAAAAGAACAAGGTATAAGGTAGAGGGTTTATTTAGCTCTTACGGATCC